GAAAAAATTTAAAATCTATCTTGGATTTAAAAATTGTAAATATATCTTAGATAATAAATAGCATTATCAGTTTCTATTGGCCTGTTATGAAAGGGTAAGCAGTATATCGATGTCATTTCATAATTGAAATAGGCATTCCTCTTTCCTGATTTGTGATATTGTTCATATGATTATGTGAGAGGGATGTGATACACTTCACAGAATAGTGAGCCCCAAGAAGCGATGCTTCATCCCTAACCCCGCTGTGGATTCTACTGGGTTTCGTGTCTTTGACAGTGTGAGCATCCTCAGGGGAGTTAAAAAAAAAAAAAAAGATAAAAGCAAACAGAATGTGATGTCTTTTCCTTCCTTTTGTGTAAGTTTGTCTTGATGCAAAACAGTAACACAGGCATTTTTCTCATATACAGGGAGGCCAGTGGGAGAAATTACAGTTGGGCTGTAGGTCACTCTACTTGTAGACACTTCCTGCCACCTAGGATGACACTTCTAGGTCTCAAGCCACATTATTGTATAGTCCTGATAGAGAGGTCATGGGGAAAATTTCCTGTAGCTTAATTTAAGCTCTAATATGGTTGGTGCCTTGTAACTTTATTGGGAGAACACAAAGATACTCTATAAACAATCGTCGCGACCCTCTTCTCTTGGAAGATTTAGTACCACAAGAACCAGACTATCGTGTGGTTTCACCTGTGCTATAGTTCTGATGCACAGACTCAAAAGGTGGCTTCATTTGAGGTGTGAGCTCACACAGGAGGCCCACTTCTGAAAATTGCACGTGAAATAAATATCATGGAAAGCTTTTATCCTTGCCTTAATAATAGCAATAATGCCTCCCAGTAACTAATATCATTACCATCTGGCCGAGGACCACTTAACAAAGATATTGCTCAATCGTTTTTTCTGGCATAGCTATTCAGTATTTGGAAAATGAAAAACTTCCAAGAGAGCTTCCAAGAGAGCAAGTCGAGGTTTTATAAATCTTCTCACTTGTCTAATTAAAATGTTCCACTAAATTTATTTTTAGGATTATTTTTTTTTTGGAAGCTGTTAACCTAAATCCTAACAGACCTTAAAACATATTTGACTAGAACAGTTGAATGTTAAGCTTTACAATATATAATAGTAAATCCATTTTTTGTCTTTCAGCACAATCTGGTTGATTTTGTACTGACTACACATAGAAATTTTATATGCACGTTTGTG